CCATGCGGCATGTTGGCCTGTAGGTTGCCTTGTGAGGTGTCCAAAGTTTGCAGACCCATTGAGGTCTGTTGATGTGGTAGAGGTTCCATTGTTGTTTGGCTTGGTTGAGATTCCATTGATGAAACTTCGTCACTGACGATTTCCGTTGCTTCTTGGTACAGAATCGATAGTTTTAAATCTGTGATGGAGCATCACTGTTTAGTGTTGTTAGAGCATTATTGATGAGCTGCCCCGTTGTCGAGCAATACCCATTGTACATAATGCTTAGCAATAACTAATGGTACGGTTTTCACTGACCACAAGATGTACGCTGCTTCACAGATTTTCCTGTCTCATGGTTATCAATGTTCACTAAGATAAGAGCAATGCGTTCGGTTCGGCAGTCGAGCGCGGAATGCTGCCAATGTAGCCAAGAAAGAGCCCAGAATGTTCCGGAATCTCACCCAGAGTGCGATTCAAATCAGTTTCAAATTCGAACTTAAGATTATAAATGCTGTAATACAATCATTTCACATTAGCACGATATAATTGCAAAGTACACTGTTTCTGCTTTCTTAAATGTTCATGAATAAATTAATATTTATCTCCAAAGAGCTTTTTGAGACGCTTCTAGCGATATGGTTTAACTTCCAAAGTGCTTGCGTTTCCAACGTAGAACACCACCCATCCTCTAAAGCGTTTCTGCTCGTCGCTGCGCAATGGGAATGAGGCCGGGGAGAGCGTTGCGTGATTGCGTGGACCTCCCAATTCCCCACGCTAACCCTCCGTTCTGCTCTCTCGCATCAAGGTCGGCGTCTACCCCTCTCTTTAAATCCGTGCACTTACTCTTGGGATGTCTTGCAGATCCAAGGATGAGATTCCCTTCTCGATCAGAAAATGCCTCCGCGCGTTTTACTCCGGGTTGCAGCTCAATCCTCTATTCATTGATGTTCCGTGCGATTGTGTCACTCATTGTGCATTCTTCATTAATCGCATTTTGTCAATTTTTCGGTATGTTTTGCCCTTTAAGTGAAGTGAAAAATAACCAGCTGACGCTGCTCAAAAGTGGTGATTTTTCCTCGGTGGCTCACTTCGCTTACAAGTTTAGGTTCCCAATAATCTGGTTCATCGACCTTTAATGTGAAGCAAGGGTTGACGTTTTCAACGTTCTTTCCGGAGATTAAAAAATTCGTTACCACGTTGGCGCAACGGCTGTTCGAGTAGTTTTCTTGAAGCGCAGTCTCTGCATCGGCGTTTCATTTTTATTTTAATGAAACAAATACATATTTTTGAAAGTACTAAGTAATGAATATCTGGTTTTCTGGGGTAAATTTAAGCAATGTTTGGTTAAATTAATTGTGATGGCAAATTTAGTTTAATAAATAAATAAAATAATAGTTTTGTGAGCCACGGTAGCTAGTATTAAACTCCTACCCTATAACTTCGAGGTCAGAGACACTACAGTGACAACGAGTGACGAATTCTCCCATTCACCTCGTTTATCGGCGGTATACCTAGTAATTCGCAATGTATAAGAAATGGTTCATCAGTATGATAATCCTCTAAAATTGCTATTAGGATTTTCTTTACAGCAGATGCAAAAAATAACACTGTTTTGCTCCCTGGAGCCAGTCTTCCTCATCCGTCTCGCTATGAAGTACGTAGAGGGAGAAGTGTCAAACGGTTATCAATGCTGCCCAGAGCATTCGCTCGCGCGGGGCAGGCACCGCAGGCCAACTGCGATAACCTTCGCTTCCTCATGTTACAAGGGTGGGGAGAGGGGAGGATGCGGGGCGGGCTCTAGGCAACGCAAAATATTGCGCTGAACTTCGCTGGTAGTGTAAGCTTCGCTTTTGTCAAGTTTTTGTGGAAATGGCGAGTGTTAATGTTCCAAAAGATAGTGGTTCGTGTGATTGTATTATAGAACAATTATCATAGACTGATTCACAGTAATGGGTTTTCAGAAAAGCTCAAAATAAAATACAACGGTAGGCCCATAACAGAACTTCTTGGTTTGACTGAAAAATGTCAAGATAGGGAGCGAGAGTACAGCAGACACTTCTGTACTTCAAATTATTCCAGACGCAAATGGTTAACGTTTAGCCCTAAATTGAACAAATTTTTTTGCCGGCCGTGTCTTCCTTTTAGCAGTGATAAGTTTAGTAACGTTTAGGCTAAAGAAAGATTCGACAATATAGATTCCCTTGCTAGTTCATTAGGCAAGCATGTAAAGACAAGAAATAATGTTTTGTGCATTTACACTGTGTAATTTCGGTAATATCCAAGTCAACGTGCGACAAAATGCTCTGAAAACTTTACAGATTTCGAAACACAACTAAATGGTAAAGAAGAACAGATTCATACTAACAGGACTCATTGATGTTGTCTGCCACTTAGGAAAGCAATAATAACATTTTGCAGTGAATCAGGAATATCGTTTAATGAAGGAAACTACATAGAAACAGATTTACTTCGAAGCTGAAAGAGGAGTTAAGATACATACAATAACAAAGGAAATGACCTCTGCCGATTTTGTGGTCATTCTTTTAGACGAGTGTTTTTACATAATTAATAAATCACAGCAATCTACCATTTTGCGTTATGTGGACAACTCTGTTGAAGTTCAAGAAAGGTTCAATGGCTTTACAGGTGTCAGCGCAGATAGCTCTGCCGATGCGATGAATAACCATCTTGTAACAACCGTGAATGATTTTAATATAGGTGAGAAACGTGTTGCTCATACCTACGTTGATGCAGTCGTAATGTCTGACCATTTAGGCGGCCTTCGGGTTAAAGTGAAAGAGGCGTATCCACAAGCATTATTTGTGCATTGTTACTGTCTCATTCTGGATTTAGTATTGCAGAAGGCAGCAATGTGCATTAACATGTGTAGACTTTTCTTCCAAACTTTGTCCAGACTCTCTAGTTTCTTTTCACAATCAACGAAGAATGGAATATTTATGAACAGAAAGCTACTGAAACCGGCACCAACATGTTGGAGCTTCAACTCCCGACTTGTTAACACTGTACAAGATCAAAGGGAAAATTTAATATTATTCTTTGAGCATATGAGGTAGCTTCCATAATATACGGCATACTTAAAATAATGTTCAGGAATCCCCACTGGTGACAACAGTGGGAGTTCTGGGCCATTTGAACTGTTTTTTGTGACAACAGGGAATGTGTACTCGTTGAAAATACCGATAGGGGTATCAGGCCGCTAGCATTCTCCTCTAGGCGGCGAGCTAGTGAAATTGACATATAGTCATTGACATATTGAGTAATAATCGTAATATCCCGCATAACATCCCATGTAGGTTAAGGGACTCCTACTTTTCAGTAGGGTGGTTCAAGATAAACCAATTGTATTGTTTATTGTTCTTTGCAGTTGAGAGATTTTTGCCTTTAAATTTAAACCCGAACAATTTATTTTAACACAAAGCGTTCCATTTTTTTCTTTTCATAATGTTCTTATCGAAATGCTTTACAATTGCCTTTTCTTTTAATTCGCCTTTAACTTAACACTTTCACGTATTACTGAGAATTTCCATGTTCTTCTATTTCTTGCTATTCTTGTTCATAAACGTCCTATTTCACGTTTTATTTCACCTTCCCAGTGAGTCTTCTGTCTTCGGACTTTTCTCGTACCGCTTCTTTGGTCCCTACCGTAGTTCTGTAACTTCTCCTATCGTCGTTGAGTCTTGCTACGTGTTCGGCCCATGTCCATTTCAGTTGCCTCACTCTTTCGTTAATTATTCAGTTGCTTCACTCTATCATTCTACTATGCGAGATTTTTCTTATTTGTTTTGTCGAAAAAAAGAGTTAAACTCTAGTGTACGGTGCAACTGAAGGAAGTCCTTTAAACAGGCAATTCGGACCGCTCTGTCGAGGGGGAAATCCACGGTGGAAGGGACGAGGAGTTCGTAATTGGTCGTAAGTTAGGGGAGGCAATTCCACCCTATAATCTTTTCGGATTTCCATTACGAAATAGTGTTGCGATCATGTTGGTGTGGTGTGATAAACACAGGTTGTGGTTGTTTTTCTTCACAATATTTTGCAGTTTGATTTCTGAAGGCTATATTGTCAAGTTCTTTATTATAAAAGTGAATTGGTAATTATGTTGTGGATAGACTCAAGAATGTCTTCAGTGAACGAAAGGTCCGAGTCGCCGTACGAGCGAAGCGAGAAACCTTGTCTTTGAAAGTAATTTGGCATTACATGAGCATGAAGGGTGAACCATGAAAATCGCATATCCGTAAGTTTTATTCATTTCTATGAGAGCGCGTAGCTTAATTTGACGGAGGGCTTAAGGTAATTGCCCCCCCCCCTCCTCCACCGCTGTTCTCTCCACGCCCCACCGCCACACATTCGTAAGGAAGTACTATAGCCGAAAAGAGTTTGTTACATTAGAGTCATTAGTGCTATCGGGCGATAGTTATTTATCTCATCTTTTGAACCACTTTTATGTAAGAGTGTTGTTCCTCCATTGTTCAAGGATTTTATCTGTGGTCAATATGCTGTTGAAAAAAGTATGAGACTACATTTTCTATTTTCAAGAATTCGTTTGTAATTCCGCCTTCCTTGTACTTCTCCCGCATTTTCCTTTCTTTATTGCGTCTTTAATTTCATCCTTCCTGGCTTAACCATTTCACACTTGATTTTTCAACGTATTTTATTAGATTTGCTTTTACACTTTTTATTTTACTGGCATAAATCTCCTGATAAAATGCGGTTACATTTTCTTCAATATTATGATTTTTTCTAATTGTTTTCACCAGGTGTGGGTTTTAGTTGTTCTATCCAAATGTTATCAGTACATGTTTCTTTGCTTATCGTTCTATAAGATTCTGTGTTTTTTTCATTTGATGCTGAGCAAAGCACAGAATTTGTCTTCAATAGCTTTATTAATGGAGTTGAAAATACCCCATCATGAGGGATCGACACCTAGAATCTCCCGACCAAGGATAATTAGGAATCATCTGTGTTGTCGACGATTGTTCGCTTCGCTCTAACTGCGTTAGAGCCTTGCATGAGGGGAATGCGGTTGTGTCGCAGCGGCCGCGCGACCGCCGCCGCCCCGTGGCCGCCGCGTCGCGTCCGGCGCGCGGCAGGGGCGGAGGAGGGGAGGCGCACGCGCCAGCCGCCGCCGCAGTGGGCGTCGGCGCCCGAGGAGCGCCGAGAGCCCAGCGCGTTGCCTGCCGCGCGGCGACGGGACGCCCGCGCCGCAAGTGGGACACCAGTAATGCGCGGGCGACGTCGGGCGCCGAGAGCCCCGACGACCTGCTGGCGGGCGCTGATGCCGCCCGGTCGTCCTCGCACGCTCAGCAGGCGGTACGTAGGCGCGGGGGCAACCCGCAGCACACCACATGGAAGACATTGCACGCCCGCGCGCTGGCCGCGGACCCAGGCTACACTCAGTTCCGGCACGCGATGTGGGATTTCTGGTGGGCAAAATAAGCTCGTGACATGTTTCCTCGAGACAGTTTTTGCCATCATCATAGTTCAAATTGCATCATCATACGAGTAATAACCTACTTATTAAAGCTGTCATCATGAGTATAGTTGAAGTCGTAGGCTTCAGCGGTCGGAGTCATGCTCATGATCTTAACTGTCGGGGTGATGCCGCGTCGAAAACGGTGTTGCCGACGTTTCGATCATCTTGTCGTGGTCTTCCTCGCATACCAGCCCTGAGGAAGACCATGACAAGATGGCCGAAACGTCGGCAATACAGCCTTCGACGCGGCGTCACCCGGACAGTCAAGATCATGTATCGTGAGAATAGGCTTACGAACGTACAGAGCGTGTACGGAACAGGCGGGCTTACGGTCTGAGTAAGAATGACAAGCTGGATTATTGTCATGATGGCACATGACTTTCAGGTACGTGCCTCTAAGGCTGTGATTTCGATTTCCACGTAAATTGTAGAGGTTTTCAGTCGTGATTCGGACATGGACGTAATCCCAGTCCCCATTGTTTATCTGTTAGAGTCAAAGTTACAGATGAGATCCAGGCCAGGTATGTGTCAAAACTTTCAAGATGTACCTAACTATAGACTGAAATGAAGGTATAGAAAACTAGCGGAACCCACACAATTATTTTTCATTCTGTCAAACATTACTATAGCCTATGTTTATCTAAAAGAGATAAACTTAAAAAAGGCAATTGCAGATCTAAAAGTCGAAGGAGAGTCTGAGGAGGCTCAAGATGTCGATGGCAGAATATTCGACACTAACAAAAGATAGCCAGGTCGAATTTCAGACGATGTCTGCAGAATATATCTAGTGATCGGCTGTTATGATCAGTAGTTTTCTGAGGTTTACCCGATCGACATAAGGTGAATGCTGTAACATCACCTAACAAACAGGCCACAAACCGGGCGCCATCTTTCCTCCATCTCCCTTGTCAAATCCCTAAACTTACACTTAAATGCACTCCACTGCATACACGTAGGGAGAGAGACTGAAGCTTCGACATTGATGGCAAAAACCCTGTGTACGTTGGTGCTAGAAGAAAACCGCCTTTCATGATAAAAACATGCGAAACATGTGTAGCGGTTTTTATGCACTGGCGTTAGGCCATCAGTCGAATTTTCGATGTCAGAGACTTACCAAACATGAATAATAACTTCACTACGTGTTAGAGGAAGAAATTGTCTGTACATAGAAATCAGAATTATCCACTATTTTCGTTAAGCTCCCTGAATTTTCGAAATTTGCGTATTCGAAATAATGGAAGAGACAAGTAGATTTTTAAGTGTCGGCCTAAGTGGGCACTGCAGAGCGACAACATGGTCTAGTGGTAAAGCGCACGGCGAGTTCAATTGACGGTCTTGAGTTCGTGTTTCTGCGTGGTAAAAATGTTGCTGCTCATGGGTACAATTGCAGGTCCATGTTGTAGTATAATATTTCGGAGCGGTGACAAGTAATGCGAGAACGAATGTGCTGTTGAAGCGCCACTGGTTTCATAGAAGATGCAATTCTCTTAAAAACAATTTTACTTTCTCGCCTTACGAAGTACTTCGTAAAAAGAGAAAGTCAACAAATCGGGGTGTCAACAAATCGGTGCGCTCGAAAACGGGGACTTTTCCGCAGAAATAAATTATTGACAAATTATTATAATGAAAAGTGGACAAATCTTGTTTATAAATTTAGAAACAAAATACTTTAACACGGGGTGAAATAAGAATACATAATTCGTGGGTACTTAGTACTGTAAAATCTCGCCCTTGGCGACAAAACGTGTGTGTTAGTCTCTACCCAACTTAAGCGCCTAAACCGTTCAGCCGATTTTCGTCAAAATTGATATTCCTCAATCGATCTGAATGAACTTATTGATTTGGGTGATTCAAATGAATATTATGATTTTTTAAGATACTTTACACGAATCTTTAGAAACATTGTCAAAATGTTCTCAAAATCGCACCAAATATTTTGATCGAGCTTTGTCTTCGCAGTCTTCTTGTCTTCGTGTTCTTAATAGCGTACAGTGCGCTTAAGAGAGTGGTGGTAATCTTATGTTCGTTGCAATCACGTTTTGTTTTAAATTGAACTAGTGGTACTACAGAATGGAACGAATTTTCCCGTGTTAGTTTTCTTTTTCTTTTGGTCTCATCTAGCTAGACGAATTTGCCACATATTTTTGCCAACTGCCATCCATCGCCTTCCAAAATATTTTTGTTAAAGTATCGTAGTTTTTTTTGTTTACTAATAATAGATTGGAAATATTATTTGAGGGATAGTAAAATACAGTAAACTCAAGTCCAAAATGGCAATTTTCTATAAAAACCTTGGAGCCGTCTTGAAGAAAATGGCATTTAAGTCCTACAGTATGTTCGAAATTTGAAGTTTTTTTCGCAAACATTTTTGAATTTTCGAAAATTTTCATTAAAAGTCTTGTGTAGCACTTTAACTAATATATACAATATCGTTTACAAATTGCTGGAAATGAGCATAATAACGGTGTTGAGATTTTTCAAAGAAATAGCAGTAGGGTAATTTTCGAAATAATAAAAAATATCCGGAAATAACATCGACGTCATATTAAAGATCGCAATTAGCACTATCCGTTCGAACAGTTTGAAAAAATATTGAAGCTGTTTTGAGAAAATAGCGTTTGAGCGTTTCAGAAAATGCGGAATTTTGTGCGAGTTTTCACAGAAAACTGTTTTCGAGAAACAAGTTTCGCAGTTTTCGAGAAATTATATATGACATTTGGTGATTGATTGTATGATTTGTATAAAAGAACTCATTATGAAACACAAACTTTATAAGAAGAAAAAACTTCTATCTTCAATTTTGTAGTTCTAAAAAGTGTCCAAAACAGTCAAACTTTTACGATTTTCAAAAATTCAGAGATAACCGTGAAAATGTGACGTATGCTACCTTTATAAGTGTATTTTACAATATTCGTACAAGAAATTTTGATGTTTTTCAAAATCGCGGCGTCTAGTAGAGTCAGATCGACAGGGGAATATCTATTTCTGAAAATATCGTACGTATGCTTTCGGCGCCAATGGTATTCAGAAACTGACAGAGGGGCAGAAAGACAGACAAACAGACGTTTTGAAAAAAATCTTTTTTGTCAAAAGAGACGATATAAAATATGCTGCTCGTCCCATTTTCGAAGAACTCTCCGTTATTTTGAAAATTGCCAAAAGTTTCCATTTAAAACTATAAAATTTAAGAAAGCTATTTTTGCTTTAAACAAAATCTGTGTAAAACACTCTGCACTTTATAAAATGACACAAACATTTTTTTGAAAAACACGTTGATTGTACACAATTTGTGTGCAATTCTTAAAGAAAAGAGTATTTTCTCAAGAACCTCGCATGTAAACATGTATGGTAAAAAAATAGTGATGCTAAAGCGGCTGAAGTATATTTGTCACAACTCGGCAAAATTCCACTCGTACTACAACACTGACTTGCAAATGTGTTTTCGAGGAGCAATAGTACTATCCGCGCCGAACCTCGAGCCCAGGTTCTTCGAAATGACGCCATCGCCTTTTCCACTACGCTACAAAGGAAACGCGAAGTACAATTTGAACCGGCGCGTAAAATGTAATTGTGTAAACTCCAGGTTTTTTCAACACGAAATTTTTGCAATTTTTGCAAATGCGGATAGACCGTCAAAAATGGAACTATCTAATGTTTACTCCTTCGTCCTTAAGAAAGTACTTCATAAAAGAGAAAGTTATGAAATCTTGAGCCGGAAAACGTGGAATTTTTGGAGGAAAAATATTTATTGTTGGGCCCTGGTAACGAGTATCAATTCGTGGGCAAGAATTTTAGAAAGACTAGTGATACTATGGAATGGCACAGAATTTCCCTGACTAATTAGTTCCCTAATCTCTTTATTTAGGACTAGCTCTTCAGTTATGTCCTATTCTTCCCAGATGCCTTCTTTGTCGTCCAAAGGACATTTGTATCCATTTTCTCAAAGTTCCGACTCCCGAATTCCACAATCCACAATAATGTCAAGGATATTGTAGCAGCGCAAGGCCCAGAACGATCTAATTAGCTGAGATTATTAATTACATAAAACTACTCAGCGCTTCGGAGTGAATGGTGGCGGGTTTGAGTTTCACTTAGGGCTACTTATTTGTGACTTATCTCTCATAAATTCTATCTTGCAGCAGAAAACTATTGTAGATTGGAGAAACTTTATTGAAAATCATTTGAAAGACTTCTACTCACAAATAAAATCAATACAGATAAATAAAACGGAGGTATCTGTATTTTAATTTCAATTTTTTAACATTTAAACACGTTTAATGTTTTGTATACGTACGTATATACGGAACAATACGTGTAGTATATATCAAGTTATGTTGTGTATATCAAAAAAGACGTATTTTTGGAAGAAAAAATTAATTACCGGGTCCCAATAACGAAAATGTGTATAAATATACTTGCTAAATTAAGAAAAAATCCTCTAACACTCGGTGTAACCAGAATCCCTGATTTGTGGGTTCTTGATGCCGAAATATCAATTGACGGTAAAACGTCTGCCTGTCCGGCCGTTAATATCACTAGCGCCTAAATTATGCATTCATTTTTTTGCAAACTGAATAAACCGCTGTCGATATGTCTTCAGTCAAATCCCTGCGATTTTCAAAAACATTGATTAAATTTTAGGGGTGCTTTACATGACGGCTCTGTGACATTTTCAACATTTTCTCAAAAATATCTCCAATGTTTTAAAAAATGTCTTGTAAGACGTAAAAAGATTAAAGATTTAGTATTATAAAGATTAAAGATAATTATAAAGATTTAATATATTCGATTTTCACTGTTGACTTTGAATTTTCGATTTGTTTTTTCGGAGTCTTCC